CACTAACCCATGGCCCAAAGTGCCACGTCTGCCCATTTTTTGAACCCCTCCAGGGATGGGGACTCCCCCACCTCTCTGGGCAGCCTCTTCCAATGCTTGACCACTCTTTCTATCAAGAAATTTTTCCTACGGAACAAAAATAACAGCCATCTGCGAATAATAAATAAATACTACTAAATAAACCCCAGCTTGTTTTGGGAAAGGGGATGATTTAAGAAGGAAAAAGACTTGCCTGAATTTAAAGCAGGCCAGTGCCGTTGTGGGGATGAGGGGGGAGACTGTTAGCGAGTCCCACCCTGAGCGTGTGAGGTGGGGCTGCAAGCTGGGGGGCTGCTGGTGCATGTATAGCAGCAAGGCAGCGTCTTCTTGGGGTCCATGAGGCCCCGGGGCAGCCAGCCGGCCACGGAGAAGCCTGTCTTCCTGTTGCCACAGCTCCCAACTCCTCCGCTCCTCTCTCCGCAGGTGCTGCCCTGCCTGTTGAGGCCCTTCTCGCACGTTCTCTACCACCTTCCCTTGGGGACAGTCACCAGCCTTGTGCAGCAGCTAACGAACCTACCTCAGAGCGCGACCGCGCCAGCGCCCACCAACCTGCACCTCAATGCTGTGCTCCAAAACAAGGTGCGTCCCTCTCCCTCGCTCCGCTCCCCCAGGGTGGGACACGGGTGGTGCGATCTCATCCCTCCCGCCCCGGCAGGTCCTGATGTTTCCCCGTAGCTGGGAAACTGAGCTCCCCCGGCAAAATTGGGTGGCAAAATTGGATGCAGCCATGGTGCAGGAACGGCACGGGAGCCGCAGACTGCCGGCCCCTGGAGCTCTCCCCTTCCCGTGCTGATTAACGAGGGTGGCTGGCAGATTAATCAGTCGGCTGAGCTGGCCTGGGACTCCGCTGCAGTCTTGACAGCCGGTTCCCTCATCTGTCCCGCTGGGCTGCAGACTCCTGCCCTGAAATTCGGGACGGGAGGGCCGCTCCTCTGCCGTGGGTTGGTGAAGACGTACCTCCGAGCTGGGCAGGGGTTGGTGTGTCCCTCACACAGCCATCCACAATGCCTGCTGTGACGCAGGCCTGTCAACAGCTTCCTCCTCCTCCTCCTCCTCAGGGGGCTGCAAAGGCAGCTGGGAATCCTCCCGCTTGTGCCGCTGTCCCCAGGATTGGGAGGGTGGAGGTGATTCTCAGCCCCCTGCCAAAAAATGCTCGGAGGGGAGGAGCAGTGGGAGGAAAGCTCGCCCTGCCCTGCCTGTCCCCTGCCGCAGGGATTTCCTCGCCAGGCACAACAGCCCTCGGGAGGCCAGCGATGGCTCGCAACAGCCCCGGCAGGACATCTCCTCCCCAGCAGGCTCCCGGCGCCTTCCCTGACACCCTCCCTGACACCCTCCCTCTCTCCCCACAGTTCGGCCTGTCCCTGCTGTACTTGGTCTTGAGCCGCGGGGAGGAACTGCAGAGCTCGGACGCGAACACGGAGCTAATGCAGGACAACCAGTGGTGAGCGCCTGTCCTGGGCTGCGCCTCGGGCTGGGGGGGACGGCGGCTGATGCCGTTGGGGTTGGACGCTGTGCCGTGCAGGGTGCGAAGGACTCGGGAGGCAAAGTTGATGAAGAAGGAGGTTTAATTGCGGTCTCTCGGCAGCAGCACTGGAAACGGCCATGGTGCTGAAGGAAAGAGAGAAAGGCAGGCCTGAGGCAGAGGGAGAACGCGGTAGATAGAGCTTGGGACGTGTCGAGACCGGTCCCTCAGAGGTGCAGGGAAGCTCCCGCGCCTCAGCGGAGCGGCCGTGGCGCTTTTAGCCTGAGCAGATACGAGATTGCCGAGTCTGGCTTAGCCCGCAGCACGAGGCGTGGCGTTACCACTGTTCTCCCGGGGCTCCGGTGTGTCCCCACGAGTTCCTGCGTGGCCGAGTTATGAGTCCCTGGGGGGAAAAAGCCTCCCTCGGTGGGGGGCCAGGCCCCGCAGAGCAGCCAGGGCATCTCGGTGCTGTCAATCGCAGGCAGGACCCTGCCCTGCGGCGAGGCTGGTGTCCCAGGACACGGCACGGCACCGCTCCCTCCCTGGTTCCAGTGCCAAAACGCCTTGAGGTTTGCGTAGCCCAGGGCACCCCGGTCCCCTGAGTGGAGTTGGAGAGCACCCGGCTCCCCGAGCACCCAACGGCTCTCACTCCTCCCTTCTCCCCTCTCCGGCAGGACGGAGCTGATGCTCATGGCAACCCGGGAGCTCCTGCGGATCCCTCAGGCGGCCTTGGCCAAGCCAGTGTCCATCCCCTCGAACCTGACTTCCATCTTCTTTCGCTACGC